AAGCCCTCGGCTTCGCTTAGGGAAAAAGCTCTGCTCCTTGGGGAAGATGTTGCCCCCATGGGGCTGCTCTGGGCTGGAGAGGGGGATCTTTTTTCCATCCCCTCTTCCTGCCCAGTGGAAGGCTCTTGTTTTGCCGGTTTCCCTGCCCAGGCCAGGGAGGTTTCGTCACCCGAAACCTCCGCCGGCGCCGTCCTGCAGCGCCAGCAGCCCATGGAGCCCCACGCGGGGGGATTCCGCGCACGCGCCGGGATCCGCTCGCTTGGCACCCTCTGGAGCCCCCTTATCCAAGGGGGACCCTCCTTTTCCACCAAGCAGCTTGCGGGCAGAGCCGGGCGAGCCGCGCTCGGCAGCAGGTTCTGCGGCGCCTTATCTTTATGGCCTGCTCTAATTGTGCATCCTCCTGAAATCCCCTCCCGGGACTCCTGTAATGAATTGCTCACTTCCTTATTCCATGAGGCAGGCAACATCCTTAAGAATCCTGTGACTCCAGAGGGAGGAAAAATAAAGTGTCCTGATAAGGGTGACGGCCGTGAGCGCCGGGCGCGCTCGGGGATGCAGCTGGACGTGGGGCTGAACGTGCCGCTGCTGCAGGTGAAGTTGAGCTGAGTCTAGCGTGAGTCACACGGCTCCCGGTGACGCTCCTCGGTGGCCATCCCTATTTGGACAGCGAAGGGAGACGGAAATAGCAAAGCAAAACTCTTCCCGAGCCCTGAACTCTCATGCCCGCTGTAAAACAGAGCTTTTACTGCATCTCTGAGCAAAGCTACCAAAAAGCTGTGGGTCAGTTTGAGCACGGCCACACGTGCGGAGGCCGTCTCCCTGCTAGGATGTCTCTAAAGAGGCTTCTCCTTGTTCGAAGGAGTAACAGCTCAGAAGTGAGAAAGGGAAATGCTTATTTTCCCTTTCCTCCTCCAAAGCTTCTGTTAAGCTCCGAATGAGGGGTTAAAAAACCCAGAGCTTGTGCCTGGTTTTACAGGGCTCTCCCATGCAAAGCAGCCAATGGGGATCGGCTCTTTCCAGCTCACCAGCCTTTGTGCCTTTTTTTTTTTTTTACTTTCCTTTTTTAATGGAGTAGTTAAAGCCAAAATACTCCTGGCCCAGCTGCAGCTCAGGCACTTTCTGCGCAAGGAGACGCTCTCCAAAAGTCCCGAGCGAAGGAGCTGTTGTGGGGTCACTTTGCCTTTAAGTTTGCAGTGTTTCTTAGCCTAAATCTAGAAGTATCTGCCAAAGATTAAACATGCAGGTAGGGAAATGTGTGTTTTCTTTGCAGGCAGCTTAGAGGCGTGTGAAATACGGGGGACAGAGTGCTTTTTGTGGGGATTTTTGGTAGGATAGCTTTTGCAACACGGAGGAGATGCCCTCTTGGAGCTTAAGGCTTTCACTCCTTCAATGCTAGAGCTCAGTCATAGTGAAATGTCCCTTTTTTTTTTCCTGCTGTTTCCACCTGAGCATCCTGGTGCAAGTGCTCAGTGCTCAGCTGTGTTAGTGTAGGCAAATTTGTCAGCAAACAGCGAGTGCTGGTGCAAACTCCTTGTGAGGAGTAAAGTTCATGTCCTGAGTAACGCGTCGCTGTCGGGGGCCATCCCTGTTACCTTTCATAAACTGGGCAAACAAGCGGTGTTGTAACGGTGCGTGAGTCACCGCGCTTCCTGCTGGCTCCTTGTTTCCTGCTAGCCCCAGACATGCTGGAGTTGGGATCAATTTCGAGCGGTGCCAACCGGCCTGCGTGCGGGTGGGCATAGGGAGAGGGGACCTTAGTGAAGCTAAAAATTGAGGAGACAGAGCCACCTTGGGCCCTCTGCAAAGACTCAGTGACTCGTGCGGAATGGCTTGGGAGCTCTCGCGGCTGGAGCGCGGCTGCTCGGAGTGGGGGCTCCGCATCCCGGCTCGCAGCTGCAGGAGGGCTCAGACTTCATGGGGTAACAAGGGCTTGGGCTGACAAGGTGGGAAGCGGCGTCTGGAAGCGCCTGGGCACACGGTGGCCTCGCTGGTGGCTTTGTGGGACACCCGCGGCAGCGTTCAGAGACCCCCGAGCTGCTGCTTGCTCCGAAATGGCATTTTCTTTTCCAGAGCCTTCAGCTTTGCTCAACAAAGTGCCCACACCACCCTGCTTGCTTGTGAAATGGGATTGTTGTGCTTGGGCCAATCCTAATTAATGGCCTTTAATTAACAGGGTTGGCTTTATTTCCTGAAGCTGTTCAGGGCCTCACTGCCTTTTCTGTGAGCTTCCTAATTCCCTGCTAATATGGAGGCAGGTGGGTTGGCAGGAGAAGTGAATCTTGTGAGCAGTCGTCACTGTGGGTTGGTGCTTACATTTAAGAATATATCACTCTTAGTATCCGTCAGCATTCCTGATTTTAGGAGTGTTGGATTAAGGTGGCCCCGGCACCAAATGCTTCTCCCGGAGCTGCCGAATGCTTGGCCAAGACCCCTGGGGAGCAAAAGGGGGTTGGACGTAGCTAGAGAGGCTGTGATATCTGTGGCTTTGTTGCACTTGCCCCTTTCAGTCCTATTTTTGGTGATCTTGCTAAAAATAACAGCTTGGGAGCTGCTCCATGCGGAGCGATAGCGGGACTGTGGTCCTGGCTGCTCCGGCTACTGCATCTGCTAAACGGCAGCTGGATTTTGGGGCAAAATCTGCCCGGATTTGAGTATGGCAGGAGGGCTGGCGTGCTCCAGCAAGGAGCTTTGGGTGTGCCGGTCTCCGACTGAAAACAATACCGGCTGCACCGACTGTACCCACAGCTTTTAATGGCACAGGGTGGCAGGGAGCTGCCGGAGAACCATGAAATGACCCATAAACAGGGCCGGGAGCCAGCACAACCCTCCCTGCAAAGGGCTGGATCTGTCTGGTTGTGCTGGGCTCGGCTCGGCCGCAGTTGCCCTCTAGTCCCTGGACTAGTGTTTTTCCTTTTGGAAAGCAGGAAATGCCAGGCCAGGGTTTTGGGCGAGCTTTGGGTCGGATGGGGGTACGTGGCTCTTTCAGGCGGTACCTGCAGCATTTTGGGATGGGGCGCGGAGAGGGATGAGGGCTCCGAGTCTGGGATCCTTTCTGGTGGCCTCCGGATCCGTGCCCTTAAATCCAACCACCGAAGGAATCTGGGGAGCCGTTGCTGGAGAAACGCAGTATGTCCCTTTGGCCGGGAGGTGATTCCCGGGATTCTGACGGACGTGGGATGTGCCAGCTCCCGTTGCGATGCCGCAGCCTCACCAAGGCACCCACATAAATATTGCTGGGCTGCACGGGTGTCACTGGCCATCGGGGATGGAGTCTAAGCCGATGCAACCCATACATTCAGATTCAGCACTCGACATTTAAAACATAGATTTTTTTTTTAATTTTTTTTACCCTCTGTAGGAAAACAGAAGGTGAAAGAGGTTTTTTTGCAAGCAAGGAGGTGGAGGAAAAAAGTGAGGCAAGAAGTGCAGGCAGAGAGGGACGAGATGCAAGTGGAAAGATGTGCAGCTGACTGAGTAAGTCGCAGGGTCACGGAGTTAACACGGGTGAAGTGCCAGGGTTGCTTCAGGTGGTGCCAGCGATGGCCTTGGTGGCGAGGGGACAGCGTGTGGCGCTTGGTGACGCGCTCGCGCTGCTTCCACGCGGCCTCCCGCGCGCCGAGTGGAGCGTCGCTTCCGAGAAGGAGCGCTGGGCCTTCGGAGAAGGGGCTTTCATTTCACGTGAACGTCCCAAAGCTGATTAACCAAACTTGGGAACATCGAATCCTAGTTCTCAGGGCACCGCGGCCGGACCGAGCAACGGGAAAATCTCCTGCCTGGGATAATTGGGCCATTGACGAAGGTGTCCCAAGTGCTGGCCTGCCCTGACCTTGCTCCGAAACAAGCCTCCGATTGTTGCTTTAGCTTAAGCAGGAGAAAGAGGAGGTGGGCGAGCGCTTGCCAAATAGCCAGAGGCACTGAGGCATTGGATAAACGCGGGGATTTTTGCTTCGTAAGTGTGAATTAGGCTCTGGCACAAACCTTTGTTGGCGATGACTGAACCATGTTGTCTGGGGCATCTCTGCCTCTGCGATGGGCAGCGCGCGGCTCCGGCCCGTCCAGCTCGTCCTCGCAGGGGGTTAGCCAGGAGGTTTGGGGTTGCAGCGGCCTTGGATGGCCTGATCTTCCCGGGAATACTTTGAGCAAGGAGAGGGGAAAAGGGGGGTGTTTTCCCTCCAAAGGCCAAGGAGGCCAACAGTGTGTGGATGGGAGAGCCTTGCAGCAGGGCCCAGCTGGAGCACGGAGCGTCGGGCGCTCTCCGGAGAGGCCAAAAGCGAGAGGAGCCCCGTGATCGTCCCCAAGGCAGCGCCGAGCCCGTGGGGGCGGCAGGACGGGCTCCGCTCTGCGCCCCGATCCGCTGCGCGCCGCCTCGCCGGGATCCTGGCTCTGCCCCGTCACGTGGGGCGTCAGATGGGCTGCTGCGGGCCCAGATAAGGCCTTGGGCCTGAAGCCCCAGGGAGAAAATTCCTGGAATCCTCAAACTCTTTTTTTTTAAAGCCTGCTTTTATATTAAATTAAACAACAATTCACTTTTTTTACTATGTTCTGCCTATCTGCTTGCTGGGGTCCCGAGTGCCGGTGCGTTTTGGGGTAAAGAAATGCAGCCACGGAGGCTGCTCTTGCTCCTTGCAGGTGACGTGGATCCAGGGAAGAGTTGTGTGGCCAGGGACATGGGTGAAGTGTGTTTTTTTTTTTTTTTTTTTTTTTTTTTTTTAAAAAAAAAAAAGGAAGACACCCTTGCATTCCCATCTGCGATGTGACAGTGACACAAAAGTGCCTAGAGCAGAGTGTGGTGCACCTGGAGCATCGTTTCTGCTGTAATCCCGTTGGGAAGGGGCGTTTGGAACAGTCCCTGCTGCACTCTGCCACCCTCCCTGCTCGGCTGGGCTGCTCCAGGCGTGTTGTCCAGGGGTGACCGGGGCTCCCGAGATGCTCCCTGGAGCGAGGGGAGCCCGGGGGGACACGGAGGCCCCTCGGTCTGACACTCTTTGCTCTCCACCCGCAGATGACGGCTCGCCTGATGCTGGCAGTGGGCGGCGCAGTGCTGGGATCCCTGCAGTTCGGCTACAACACGGGCGTCATCAACGCCCCGCAGAAGGTGAGAGCCCCTCGGCGCGACGGGACAACGCGGACGGTGCTGCCGGACCGGCCGCTTCCAACAGGCCCCGCGCGCGAAAACAAACACACCCCCTTCCCACCTCCCGCATCCACGAGGAGCCGGGCTAAAATAGTACATCCTGTTAGGCGGCTTACTGCCCCTAATGGGATTTGTTAAGGAGTTATTTAGCTCCTATGTTCCCAGGGGAATTAGTTTCCTCTTTGCTGAGCGTTTTACTAAAGAATTCTGGGAACAAATGTAGATGCTCAAGGAGCCAAGGCTCTTCGGGTGGGATCCGGGTAGCTTTTAACCTCGGCCTTAGCAGAGATCTCCAAGCCAATTAGGCTCTTAGTCATCTCGGGGGCACTGACCTCTCGGATGGGCGGCCGGAGGAGCCGGTTGTTTTCCCGCATGGAGCGCGAGCCGTGGGAGCTGCGAGCTGGCCAGAGAACGCTCCCCACCACGGCCGGGGGTCCCCTGATTCCTGGGGGGTAAAGGCTCCATGCAGGATGGATTCAGGGCAGCTGTAGAGCTGGAGATCCACAAAAACAGTGCTCTCCAGTGGGAGAAAGGAGGAATTTAGTGGCTCCATGGAGGGAGCCACAGGTCCCGCTTAGCTGCTGGTGTAACGGGGGTGACCTGGGGCTGTGGGGCACAGTGCAGGTGCCAGCTTTAAGAAAAGCAAAACCCCAGGAGGAGCTGGAGTAGATTTGGAGCCTGGCGATGGGGCAAGAGGCAAGATGTGGTGACAAGGCCTCTGACACAGCAAGCCCTTGGGAAGGGCAGTGAGGAGCAGCAGGAAGCTGCTGCTTCTTGCACTGCAGCTGGTGGGTGCCAGGACTCCCTGACACCTCAGAGGGGCCCCCAGAAGCTTCTGA